ACTTCAGCCAGTATCATGCCCTGTGCTTGCTGCCTGGGCCCCCTATCTCCTGGAAGACTTCAGCCAGTATCATGCCCTGTGCTTGCTGCCTGGGTCACTATCTCCTGGAAGATGACAGCCAGTATCATGCCCCGTGCTTGCTGCCTGGGCCCCCTATCTCCTGGAAGATGACAGCCAGTATCATGCCCTGTGCTTGCTGCCTGGGCCCCCTATCTCCTGGAAGACTTCAGCCAGTATCATGCCCTGTGCTTGCTGCCTGGGCCCCCTATCTCCTGGAAGATGACTGCCAGTATCATGCCCTGTGCTTGCTGCCTGGGCCCCCTATCTCCTGGAAGATGACAGCCAGTATCATGCCCTGTGCTTGCTGCCTGGGCCACTATCTCCTGGAACACCACCGTCAGATACTCCGGTCGCTGCAGGAGTAATTGCTTGTGTCCGGGTCCTATCCATGTTATCACCAGATGTTGAATTGAGAATATGGTATATGGGTTTGTTCTTCGACAGCCGGTGAGTATTCCAAGGTCAGACAGCCTTGTGAATGGGGGTACGGCGGCCTGGTAGACAGGCTGAGGGTACGGCAGGCTGGTAGACCGGCTGAGAGTACGGCAGCCTGGTAGGTCCAGCCCGGAGTCCACTGGATAAGCTGCTTGTTGACTATCAACATACTGACCTGCCCCTCAGTGTATTCCTGCTGCTTCACCTTGCTGGAGACCGTCGCGTTGTGTAGCCACACCCACCTACCCCCTGGATGGTGACGTGTCACACCCACCCACCCCCTGGATGGTGACGTGTCACACCCACCCACCCCCTGGATGGTGACGTGTCACACCCACCCACACCCTTGAGGGTGACACACAACACCCACTGTGTACCCATCCTCCCCCCCCCTCACCTGTTACTGAAGAAGCATTATCTCGTGTCCTACAGCATCCCGTGGAGATTGTCACAGAGTACATGCTTCGTAATTCGTATTTAATAACCCACAGACACTCTCCCATGCTTTCTAATAGGAGATCGCTTAGTAAACATGCCGGGGAGTAGTGCTAAGATGCCAGCACAGGCAGCCAGCCCCCCCTGCGTGGGGCCGGGGAGGGAATATTCAATGCGCTGGGTCTCCTTGCTGGAGCCACTGAACGAGCGTGACAGGAATGCTAGATATTATGCTTGCTGAAGCGCCTCTCCCCTTTGCTTGTGGTCGCCGTTGGGTTGAGGTGAGACATTGGTAATTGAAAGGGATTGATGCGGAGGTTTTCAGTGTACTACACTCAGTAGCATTTAGTTCGTGTGGGCATACACTTACTGTGTGGTCATATGGAACTTTTTATACCCAGAGAGTGAATGGGGAAGGTATATATGTATTTTGTAAACTTGCTAGAGTCAGGGCCCTGACAGCTGAGTGGACAGCGCTCGGGATTCGTAGTCCTAGGGTTCCGGGTTCGATTCCCGGTGGAGGTGGAAACACATGGGCAGAGTTTCTTTCACCCTGATTCCCCCCTGTTCACCTAGCAGTAAATTAGGTACCTGGGAGTTAGACAGCTGCTACGGGCTGCTTCCTGGGGGTGTGTAAGAAAAAGGAGGCCTGGTTGAGGACCGGGCCGCGGGGACGCTAAGCCCCGAAGTCATCTCAAGATCACCAAGATGAACCAATTCCTATAAGTGAGATGGTCTGGCTACGAGGATAGCTTACTCTGCCCAACCACTTGGGTTGGACGGTAGAGCGACGGTCTCGCTTCATGCGGGTCATGGTTCAATCCCCGACCGTCCACAAGTGGTTGGGCACCATTACTTCCCCCCGTCCCATCCCGAATCCTTATCCTGATCCCTTCCTAGTGCTATATAGTCGGAATGGCTTTGTGCTTTCCCCTGATAATGACCTTACCTTACCTGACCACCTCCCAGCTGTGTGAGGCCAGGGACCGAGCGTGACAGAATAATGTGTATAATATGCTTACTCAGTGGCCCCATTCTAGCAGGGTGGGCCATGGACCCAGCGTGGCAGAATAATGTGTATAATATGCTTACTCAGTGGCCCCATTCTAGCAGGGTGGGCTAGGGACCGAGCGTGGCAGAATAATGTGTATAATATGCTTACTCAGTGGCCCCATTCTAGCAGGATGGGCCAGGGACCGAGCGTGGCTAAATAATGTGTATAATATGCTTACTCAGTGGCCCCATACTAGCAGGGTGGGCCAGGGACCGAGCGTGGCAGAATAATGTGTATAATATGCTTACTCAGTGGCCCCATACTAGCAGGGTGGGCCAGGGACCGAGCGTGGCTAAATAATGTGTATAATATGCTTACTCAGTGGCCCCATACTAGCAGGGTGGGCCAGGGACCGAGCGTGGCAGAAAGGACTCGTTACTCAGAGGTAAAGTGTATGAAGGTAGCCGGAGCCGCGCCTTAGGCAAGGTCAAAGCCGCACGGCAGCAACTTATTAATGTTTTGATTTTAACCAGTCATTTATTTACTTTTTTTTACCTTAGTTTAGTTTGGCCACGATATCAAGGCCGAGGTGGACAGGACACATGAATGGAGTTTTCCGCCCTCTGAAGTGCCTGGATGTGACGACCAGGAGAGAGAGAGAGAGAGAGTCAGAGAGAGAGAGAGAGAGAGAGAGAGAGAGAGAGAGAGAGAGAGAGAGAGAGAGAGAGAGAGAGAGAGAGAGAGAGAGAGAGAGAGAGAGAGAGAGAGAGAGAGAGAGAGAGAGAGAGAGAGAGAGAGAGAGAGAGAGAGAGAGAGAGAGAGAGAGAGAGAGAGAGAGAGAGAGAGAGAGAGAGAGAGAGAGAGAGAGAGAGAGAGAGAGAGAGAGAGAGAGAGAGAGAGAGAGAGAGAGAGAGAGAGAGAGAGAGAGAGAGAGAGAGAGAGAGAGAGAGAGAGAGAGAGAGAGAGAGAGAGTTAGTTTAACTAAGTTCCCGGTGAAGTGTGTTAGTTATTATAAAAGAAAATGTTTCCACCAGAAGTGTAATGATGTGTTGGGGAGGTGGGTCGGGTAGGAGCTTCTCTCTCTCCCTCCCCACCCTGCCCTCCTACCCTGCCTCCCTCCCTACCTACCTACCTACGTCTCACCTCCCTCCCTCCCTCTAGTTACTGACCGAGGCTCCCCGCGGGTGAATCAAGTATTTTAACCTGATTAATTGCCCAGTTATGTCCTCCGTGCTGTTGGACCACCACTGTGTGTACTCGCCTAGTGGTGCTTGCGGGGGTTGAGCTCTGGCTCTTTGGTCCCGCCTCTCAACTGTCTATCAACTGAAGTACAGGATCCTGAGCCTACTGGGATGCACACCGCATGCGTGCATGTGTGTGTGTACTCGCCTAGATGTAATCGCCTAGATGTACTCGCCTAGATATAATTGCAGGTTGGAGCTAGGCTCTTGGCCCCGCCTTCCGAACGTTCCTAGATTAATGCACTGACTCATTTCTCACACTTTTATCCTATTTACATTTACAATTCTGAATCGAATTAGCTTCAACGACTTCTGTGCCAAACCTGTTCTGTTCCACTTACTCCAGCACTAAAAACGTTCTTCCCGCTGTCTTCATTTATTTGTTATATATACATAAGAAGATACATTGGCTTGTGATAGCACATAACATTGCATTTGAGCATTACATTACAAAGCCACTAACGCATACAACGTTTCCTGTAAACTCATCTGGGGTCTCTTAGTTTCCATCTGTGATCCCTCGTGCTGTTGTTGCTAGCTTTGAGTAACACTGTCTACTTTGTCAATTTCCCTTTGAATCTTATATGTTGTTATCATGTCTCCCTCTCTCTCCCTTCAGCCAGGAGAGTGAAGGGAGTACAATTATTACAGTTGTAATACAAATACAGTCAGGAAGGGAGTTTACAATTATTAAACAGTTAATGAGCTCCGAAGCACCAGGAGGATGTTTATAACAATAACAACAGTTGATTGGCAAGTTTTCATGCTTGTAAACTGTTTAAGAAATGTAACCAAAGCCGTCAAAGATTATGGAAAGATGTACACGTTCGTAAGTACTTGCGTAACTGCTTCGTGAATCTGGTCCCAGGTTCGTAAGTGCTTGCGTAACTGCTTCGTGAATCTGGTCCCAGGTTCGTAAGTGCTTGCGTAACTGCTTCGTGCATCTGGTCGCAGGTTCGTAAGTGCTTGCGTAACTGCTTCGTGAATCTGGCCCCAGGTTCGTAAGTGCTTGCGTAACTGCTTCGTGAATCTGGTCCCAGGTTCGTAAGTGCTTGCGTAACTGCTTCGTGAATCTGGTCCCAAGTCGGACCGAAACGTCATCGTTTCTCCATCTACTGTTGCGTGGTTTGGTCACCAAACTACATAATCAATGAAGAACAATGAAGAACAATGGAGAACAATGAACGTCACATTCCAGGTCAACATGGACTTAGAACTGGAAGCTCCCGCCTTTCCCAACTGTACAACGACTCTGACCAGATTTACGGGCTCGCCATAGCCCGTGCTACGTTGACACTTCGTTCTGAGTAGCTCTGACAAGATCCCGGAAGCATAAGGGAATACAAAAAGAATACAAAATTCAGCGTGAAAATGGTTTCCGTAGAAGACATTGGAAAACTTCAAGACTATCAATAGTCTTTGGGCAATGGGAGGACTATTGTGGAGACGGAAGGGTCGTTAATGCAGACGGAAGGGTCGTTACGGCAGACGGAAGGGTCGTTGCGGCAGACGGAAGGGTCGTTGCGGCAGACGGAAGGGTCGTTGCGGCAGACGGAAGGGTCGTTGCGGCAGACGGAAGGGTCGTTGCGGGTGACGGAAGGGTTGTTGCGGCAGACGGAAGGGTCGTTCCGGCAGACGGAAGGGTCGTTGCGGCAGACGGAAGGGTCGTTGCGGCAGACGGAAGGGTCGTTACGGCAGACGGAAGGGTTGTTGCGGCAGACGGAAGGGTCGTTGTGGCAGACGGGTCGTTGTGGCAGACGGAAGGGTCATTGCGGGTGACGGAAGGGTCGTTACGGCAGACGGAAGGGTCGTTGCGGCAGACGGAAGGGTCGTTAATGCAGACGGAAGGGTCGTTACGGCAGACGGAAGGGTCGTTGCGGCAGACGGAAGGGTCGTTGCGGCAGACGGAAGGGTCGTTAATGCAGACGGAAGGGTCGTTACGGCAGACGGAAGGGTCGTTGCGGCAGACGGAAGGGTCGTTGCGGCAGACGGAAGGGTCGTTGCGGCAGACGGAAGGGTCGTTGCGGCAGACGGAAGGGTCGTTGCGGGTGACGGAAGGGTTGTTGCGGCAGACGGAAGGGTCGTTCCGGCAGACGGAAGGGTCGTTGCGGCAGACGGAAGGGTCGTTACGGCAGACGGAAGGGTTGTTGCGGCAGACGGAAGGGTCGTTGTGGCAGACGGGTCGTTGTGGCAGACGGAAGGGTCATTGCGGGTGACGGAAGGGTCGTTACGGCAGACGGAAGGGTCGTTGCGGCAGACGGAAGGGTCGTTGCGGCAGACGGAAGGGTCGTTGCGGCTGACGGAAGGGTCGTTGCGGCTGACGGAAGGGTCGTTACGGCAGACGGAAGGGTTGTTGCGGCAGACGGAAGGGTCGTTACGGCAGACGGAAGGGTCGTTACGGCAGACGGAAGGGTCGTTGCGGCTGACGGAAGGGTCGTTAATGCAGACGGAAGGGTCGTTACGGCAGACGGAAGGGTCGTTGCGGCTGACGGAAGGGTCGTTGCGGCTGACGGAAGGGTCGTTAATGCAGACGGAAGGGTCGTTACGGCAGACGGAAGGGTCGTTGCGGCAGACGGAAGGGTCGTTGCGGCAGACGGAAGGGTCGTTGCGGCAGACGGAAGGGTTGTTGCGGCAGACGGAAGGGTTGTTGTGGCAGACGGAAGGGTCGTTGCGGCAGACGGAAGGGTTGTTGCGGCAGACGGAAGGGTTGTTGCGGCAGACGGAAGGGTCGTTACGGCAGACGGAAGGGTCGTTGCGGCAGACGGAAGGGTCGTTGCGGCTGACGGAAGGGTCGTTGCGGCAGACGGTAGGGTCGTTGCGGGTGACGGAAGGGTCGTTGCGGGTGACGGAAGGGTTGTTGCGGCAGACGGAAGGGTCGTTGCGGCAGACGGAAGGGTCGTTGCGGCAGACGGAAGGGTCGTTGCGGCAGACGGAAGAGTCGTTGCAATCGACGGAAGGTCCTTTGCGGTGACGGCGAAGTTAGTAATACATGTAAATGAAAGCAGTTTGGGCACCATTCGTATTCCCGCCAGCCGAGGACCAGCGCCAACTGATGACATCCATTTTATGACTTAAACCCTGCCACTAGGCTGGACCGTGGCACCCTGTGCCCTGCTGTAGTGCCCCCGTACCCTATTAGTGCCCCCTAGTGCCATTCCCACCCTACTTCCGTCCGTTCCTTCCTGTCGATCTCTCCCTACTTTGGTCCGTCCATTCAGACGAAACTCCCTACCTACCTTTCGTCCGTCTATCCGTCCTTCTGTCCGTCGGCCCCGTCCACCCCCGCCTGCTGTCGGTACTGGGGGTGACAGGCGAACGTGGCGGGGCGGCGTGAGACCCCCCGACGCGTACTTGTGAATTCCTGGCAGCGCTGGTCCTTGAGACATCAGTGCGAACGCTTGGTCACCTTCTGAGAGTGTCCGGCCGTGACGCGCGTGTTGACCTGCTCTTCAGGCGGGTTTGGTGCGCAGATGTGTGACGTATGGTGCGCAGATGTGTGACGTATGGCGCGTAAGATGAGAGCGCGACGCTCGCGGAGTCCCGTCTATCCCCTCCCTACCACATACACACACACACACCCAGGAAGCAGCCCGTGACAGCGGACTAACTCCCAGGTACCTATTTACTGCTAGGGCATAGGGTGAAAGAAACTCTGCCCATTGTTTCTCGCCGGGGATCGAACCCGGCACCACAGGATCACGCGTCCAGCGTGCTGTTCGCTCGGCCACCGGCTCCGTTGTGTGTGTGTACTCACCTAGCTGTACTCACCTAGTTGTGTTTGCGGGGGTTGAGCTCTGGCTCTTTGGTCCCGCCTCTCAACCGTCAATCAACAGGTGTACAGATTCCTGAGCCTATTGGGCTCTATCATATCTACACTTGAAACTGTGTGTGTGTGTGTGTGTGTGTGTGTGTGTGTGTGTGTGTGTGTGTGTGTGTGTGTGTGTGTGTGTGTGTGTGTGTGTGTGTGATTAGTTTAGAGGCAACTGCAGTGACCAGACCACTGTTAAGGGTGGACTGGTGCATCAGTGTAACCTTAATACTCATAAGATCCTCAAGTTTTACCAGCGGAGGCAATTAGTTCAAGTGTAAGAGCTACGAAAGGAGCAAGATTCCCATTACCCTTCTCAGTTGATGGGGCGTGTATAGTGCGTGGGTTGACGGGGGTGTAGGCCAGTTGATGGGGCGTGTATGGTGCGTGGGTTGACGGGGGTGTAGGCCAGTTGATGGGGCGTGTATGGTGCGTGGGTTGACGGGGGTGTAGGCCAGTTGAAGGGGCGTGTATGGTGCGTGGGTTGACGGGGGTGTAGGCCAGTTGAAGGGGCGTGTATGGTGCGTGGGTTGACGGGGGTGTAGGCCAGTTGAAGGGGCGTGTATGGTGCGTGGGTTGACGGGGGTGTAGGCCAGTTGAAGGGGCGTGTATGGTGCGTGGGTTGACGGGGGTGTAGGCCAGTTGAAGGGGCGTGTATGGTGCGTGGGTTGACGGGGGTGTAGGCCAGTTGATGGGGGGTGTATGGTGCGTGGGTTGACGGGGGTGTAGGCCAGTTGATGGGGGGGTGTATGGTGCGTGGGTTGACGGGGGTGTAGGCCAGTTGATGGGGGGTGTATGGTGCGTGGGTTGACGGGGGTGTAGGCCAGTTGATGGGGCGTGTATGGTGCGTGGGTTGACGGGGGTGTAGGCCAGTTGATGGGGGGTGTATGGTGCGTGGGTTGACGGGGGTGTAGGCCAGTTGAAGGGGGTGTATGGTGCGTGGGTTGACGGGGGTGTAGGCCAGTTGAAGGGGCGTGTATGGTGCGTGGGTTGACGGGGGTGTAGGCCAGTTGAAGGGGCGTGTATGGTGCGTGGGTTGACGGGGGTGTAGGCCAGTTGAAGGGGGGTGTATGGTGCGTGGGTTGACGGGGGTGTAGGCCAGTTGAAGGGGCGTGTATGGTGCGTGGGTTGACGGGGGTGTAGGCCAGTTGAAGGGGCGTGTATGGTGCGTGGGTTGACGGGGGTGTAGGCCAGTTGAAGGGGCGTGTATGGTGCGTGGGTTGACGGGGGTGTAGGCCAGTTGAAGGGGCGTGTATGGTGCGTGGGTTGACGGGGGTGTAGGCCAGTTGAAGGGGCGTGTATGGTGCGTGGGTTGACGGGGGTGTAGGCCAGTTGAAGGGGCGTGTATGGTGCGTGGGTTGACGGGGGTGTAGGCCAGTTGAAGGGGCGTGTATGGTGCGTGGGTTGACGGGGGTGTAGGCCAGTTGAAGGGGGGTGTATGGTGCGTGGGTTGACGGGGGTGTAGGCCAGTTGAAGGGGCGTGTATGGTGCGTGGGTTGACGGGGGTGTAGGCCAGTTGAAGGGGCGTGTATGGTGCGTGGGTTGACGGGGGTGTAGGCCAGTTGAAGGGGGGGTGTATGGTGCGTGGGTTGACGGGGGTGTAGGCCAGTTGAAGGGGCGTGTATGGTGCGTGGGTTGACGGGGGTGTAGGCCAGTTGAAGGGGCGTGTATGGTGCGTGGGTTGACGGGGGTGTAGGCCAGTTGAAGGGGCGTGTATGGTGCGTGGGTTGACGGGGGTGTAGGCCAGTTGAAGGGGGGTGTATGGTGCGTGGGTTGACGGGGGTGTAGGCCAGTTGAAGGGGCGTGTATGGTGCGTGGGTTGACGGGGGTGTAGGCCAGTTGAAGGGGCGTGTATGGTGCGTGGGTTGACGGGGGTGTAGGCCAGTTGAAGGGGCGTGTATGGTGCGTGGGTTGACGGGGGTGTAGGCCAGTTGAAGGGGGGTGTATGGTGCGTGGGTTGACGGGGGTGTAGGCCAGTTGAAGGGGCGTGTATGGTGCGTGGGTTGACGGGGGTGTAGGCCAGTTGAAGGGGCGTGTATGGTGCGTGGGTTGACGGGGGTGTAGGCCAGTTGAAGGGGGGGTGTATGGTGCGTGGGTTGACGGGGGTGTAGGCCAGTTGAAGGGGCGTGTATGGTGCGTGGGTTGACGGGGGTGTAGGCCAGTTGAAGGGGCGTGTATGGTGCGTGGGTTGACGGGGGTGTAGGCCAGTTGAAGGGGCGTGTATGGTGCGTGGGCTGACGGGGGTGTAGGCCAGTTGAAGGGGCGTGTATGGTGCGTGGGCTGACGGGGGTGTAGGCCAGTTGAAGGGGCGTGTATGGTGCGTGGGTTGATGGGGTGTAGGCCAGTTGAAGGGGCGTGTATGGTGCGTGGGTTGACGGGGGTGTAGGCCAGTTGAAGGGGCGTGTATGGTGCGTGGGTTGACGGGGGTGTAGGCCAGTTGAAGGGGGGGTGTATGGTGCGTGGGTTGACGGGGGTGTAGGCCAGTTGAAGGGGCGTGTATGGTGCGTGGGTTGACGGGGGTGTAGGCCAGTTGAAGGGGCGTGTATGGTGCGTGGGTTGACGGGGGTGTAGGCCAGTTGAAGGGGCGTGTATGGTGCGTGGGTTGACGGGGGTGTAGGCCAGTTGAAGGGGGGGTGTATGGTGCGTGGGTTGACGGGGGTGTAGGCCAGTTGAAGGGGCGTGTATGGTGCGTGGGTTGACGGGGGTGTAGGCCAGTTGAAGGGGCGTGTATGGTGCGTGGGTTGACGGGGGTGTAGGCCAGTTGAAGGGGCGTGTATGGTGCGTGGGTTGACGGGGGTGTAGGCCAGTTGAAGGGGGGTGTATGGTGCGTGGGTTGACGGGGGTGTAGGCCAGTTGAAGGGGGGTGTATGGTGCGTGGGTTGACGGGGGTGTAGGCCAGTTGAAGGGGGGTGTATGGTGCGTGGGTTGACGGGGGTGTAGGCCAGTTGAAGGGGGGGTGTATGGTGCGTGGGTTGACGGGGGTGTAGGCCAGTTGAAGGGGCGTGTATGGTGCGTGGGTTGACGGGCGTGTAGGCCAGTTGAAGGGGGGGTGTATGGTGCGTGGGTTGACGGGGGTGTAGGCCAGTTGAAGGGGCGTGTATGGTGCGTGGGTTGACGGGGGTGTAGGCCAGTTGAAGGGGGGGTGTCTGGGTATGTCATGTTCTTATGTAATAAAGTAATATGTATTAGTATTTAATGTATAGTTAGTCCTATGTTAGGTCAGGTGTTTAGCCCTATGTTAGGTCAGGTGTTTAGCCCTATGTTAGGTCAGGTGTTTAGCCCTATGTTAGGTCAGGTGTTAGCCCTATGTTAGGTCAGGTGTTAGCCCTATGTTAGGTCAGGTGTTTAGCCCTATGTTAGGTCAGGTGTTTAGCCCTATGTTAGGTCAGGTGTTTAGCCCTATGTTAGGTCAGGTGTTTAGCCCTATGTTAGGTCAGGTGTTTAGCCCTATGTTAGGTCAGGTGTTTAGCCCTATGTTAGGTCAGGTGTTTAGCCCTATGTTAGGTCAGGTGTTTAGCCCTATGTTAGTCAGGTTTTAGCCCTATGTTAGGTCAGGTGTTTAGCCCTATGTTAGGTCAGGTGTTAGCCCTATGTTAGGTCAGGTGTTTAGCCCTATGTTAGGTCAGGTGTTTAGCCCTATGTTAGGTCAGGTGTTTAGCCCTATGTTAGGTCAGGTGTTTAGCCCTATGTTAGGTCAGGTGTTTAGCCCTATGTTAGGTCAGGTGTTTAGCCCTATGTTAGGTCAGGTGTTAGCCCTATGTTAGGTCAGGTGTTTAGCCCTATGTTAGGTCAGGTGTTTAGCCCTATGTTAGGTCAGGTGTTTAGCCCTATGTTAGGTCAGGTGTTTAGCCCTATGTTAGGTCAGGTGTTTAGCCCTATGTTAGGTCAGGTGTTTAGCCTATGTTAGGTCAGGTGTTTAGCCCTATGTTAGGTCAGGTGTTTAGCCCTATGTTAGGTCAGGTGTTTAGCCCTATGTTAGGTCAGGTGTTTAGTTTCTTTTGGGCAATAATTTATATTTGTGGTACATTGGTGAAGTATTTGTCCCATCAAACACACACCGAAACTACGACGTTGGTACAACGTTCGAACAAGTTTTAACACCTCCTAACCAGTTATAACAACCAATATAGCAAGTTGTAACAACGTTCTAATACGTCATAAGC